ATTTTTTATAGATTAATATACCCGATCTTAAAAAAATTTAAAAGAGCTTGGCCGGATACTTTTCCGAGGGTAGTGTATGTTGAATATGTGTATCGTTAAACTAAAATATTGCTATATAAAAACATACTAACCTTATAGTATTGTTTGCTTTTAATAACTCTAGAACAAAGTTGATGAATAGTTCTAATAGGTGCAAGCGCGGCAAGAGGTTTATTGGTTGAATTATCTTCAGGTATTATAGTTTTCTTGAAATTATGACAATTAGAAGTTGCCATCATCTAAATATTAAGCAAAAAAAAATGTTTTTAAAATTTTAAAAATGAAAAGATGAAAATAAAATGGAAGAGGTTTTGGACTTTTATCTGTAGCTGAAAAAAGTAAAAATTATGATCTAGCTAAAAATACAGAAAAGATTAATTTATTGATTTTTATTATGTAATTCATGACATAATACAAACATCCATCTATTACAAAGTAAATTATCCTTTAAAAAATTACTTTGTGAAAAGTCTATAATATAAGTATGAGAAAAAAAAATAGTGTTTTTTAAGGTTTAATATTATACTACTTTTAGTAATATAATATACTATCAATAAATTTTTTTTGAGGCATAGGATTTGTTAAAATGATATCATTGGATTACATTAAATACTATAACAGTTCATGCGCCATTTTGATTATAAGGATACGTAATTAATCAATTAATTAACTTGAGAGAAAAACAACAATTAGACTAAATTAATTTTTTTTCGAATTCTTTTAAGAAAAAATTGGATATAATTTAGCCAATACAGGATATGATAGATCTAATTTCCAATAATATATCTGAATATAGAATTTTTTTTGCTGATGATCATTATAACATAAAAGGTCTGTGTGTCAAAGTGTCTATCATGTGACATTTTATAATAAGTATATTTTTTTTTCATTTTTTTTTTAAATTTTTTCTCGATTTTATTAACTATGAAAAGAATAAGTAATATTTCGACTAAGAATAAAAATGTGTTCTAATATAATCATTATCTGCAATCATTCAGTAGGCGTAATGCTTTTAGAAATTACCTCTGATCACATCGAGATCAAATATATCTAGATGAAAATGAACTTACTCATAATAGTGATGCTATTATGGGTAGGACTAAAGATGGGAACTGTAATTAATATGTTGCAACTTTTAATGTTGCAACTTACGTTGCAATTAGTTTAACCTATATATGTTGCAACAAATTTTAGCTTATGTTGCAACATTTTGTAAATTTGAAATCAATTGCTGTACCAT